GCATCTGTCATATCTTCACAAATGTTTCAAGTACAAACTGAATCTTTGATCTCTGACTTAAGACAAACAATGATTAATGATTTTATCTCATCACTTTCAACAATAAGAAAAACAACTCAAAGTAATGCTTTGCTCACTGGACAACTAACTAATTATTATCTTTATCAATCAAGCAGTAGTATTCTTACATTTACATATCCACAGTCATATGGTAATTGTAGTTGTGGATCTTCAGCTACATGCACATCTCAATCTAGGATTATGGACTATTATAGCGGTATAATATATTTGTATGTGCCAGGTATTTACATTGGATGTTATATAATTGAGTCATTACTTCAATCTGATCTACGTTGTTTTTATAATCAGAGTTGTATAGATGAACTTCAACCATTTTTAGCATCATTTTCACAAATGAATGTATCAGCACTTGATAAATCATTGTTAGTTCGATTTATGGAAAACTCAACAATTCAAGAGGTGATGGATGAATTAATGATCGAAACATGGAACTCATCAATAATGTATGAGAGTTATTATAATGAATGTCAACCATCACAATGCAGTTATACTGTCAATACAAAGAATAGTGCAATATATATTATTACGACATTGATTGGACTAGTTGGTGGTTTAATAACAGTTTTGAAATTGATCGTGCTAAGAATGGTCAAACTTATTACGCCTTACATTCAACGACATAGAATGAGACAAAATGCTGTAATACCGTTCGGTTAAAGTTCATTACTTTGACATTAATGCAAGATACTGTTAAGCTGAAAAAGATATACAAATAATTGAAAAAACTTAACGATAATCGTTTCTGATTGCGAAAAGTAGACAATCTTTGGATAATTCATTTCATAGCAGACATTTAGAAAACATAGATGCAAGGAAGAAAAAACGATCTATGATTTTGTAATTCAAAATGATTTAGTTTTGATTTTCAGATGATTTTAATTAGTTTTTTCCTCGTGCATATATGTGTAGTGTTGTTTTAAGACAACTTTATTTATATTATTGTAAGACGTATTGTATCACAGTTTGCCCGCACTTCAATATTTTTTTCAAATAAAAGACAAGAATGCTTTGCTTATATAATATATATATCTATAATTGATACAGTGTGTCTCGTAGCAGTGCACTTTTGTATTAATTTCAACAGGCAATTGAATTTGTAACTGAAACTGTTATATAGAGACTATTTGATGTCGATCTGCTAAAAACAGACAGTTACTTATGGCAGAAAAAGCCGTATGCTCGAATTCAGATTTTTATTCCTCCATCTGAATTTAATTGGGAAATCATCAATTCTTTTCAAAGAGAAATCGATCTTTCTCACTTGACTAAAGATAAATTACTACTAATATTATCAAAGTTATGTAATAAATTGGTTTCAAAAAAAATTCAATTTTCATTAAAAAGTCGAAAGTCAATATATCAGCACATTTGTATGAAAACTGTAACATGATCTGTATCATAATATGCTACAGCAATGTCCATCCAATTGTCTTGATTGAAGTTGTGAATGTGGGTGAAGATCTGAAAACTTGTTATTCATTTCAATTCTTATTCATATCCTCAAAAATGGCAGTGTTGATGCATGAGTTTGAATTCTACCGTATCAATGGTGACGCATTTTAGCCATTAATCCACCTACTTAAAAGTAAAAACAAAACACAAAATATTTATTCTTTTAGTCTCTATTTATTTTCATATGATGATATTACGATATAAAAAAGATTAAACAAAAAAATAAGTTGAACAGTAGAATATTACATACAAAAAAAGAGAAAGATTTGTCCATAATAGATATTTGCTGAATTAGATCAATTTTTTAAAGTTCTGATGGTTTGTAAATCTGCCAATGATTCGAAACCATCATCTGGAAGGTAGTAATGTCCAAAATATGTAGTTAGAGTATAGTCTGTATCCGGTGATAAATTCTCAAAACAGTATTTTCTTATCAAATAAATTTCATTTAAGACAGTTTCTATTGGTAATATTGTATTTCTACCACCCAGATTTACATTCGTTTCAAGTTTAAAATAAGGTACTTCTCTTGGCCACATCATTGAAATAAAAGCTGAATTTGATTTAATATCAACAATTCTTCTTGCACTAGGTATCGGTGTTGTTGCCATTTTGATCAGTTCAGGTCTAGTGGCTCCTAACCGCCACGGGTCTGGACTTGTTCCATCAATAAAAGTTATATTGTATTCGGTGGCGACAGCATAATATAGATTAGCTTTTAAAAAACTGCTGTTCACTATCATACGTGATATGGAATCAAAGTGATCTTTACCATCCACAGTAAAGTTATACCGAAATATGTCAGTTGCGTTTAGTTTATACACGATGACAGAAAATTGTATAGAAGATGGTTCATCCCTTTCGGGATTATAATATGGCCAAGTAATATTAAGGCTTGATTCATTGTATACATCGACAAACTGATTAAATGGTGTTTGCCAATAGAATGGTCGCCCTATAACTAAATTTATTGATGTTGTTGTCAATATCAGAATGAAAATCCATATAAACTGCATTTTGTCGTCTGGTCAAAATATTTCTTTATTTAACCGAATGGATATGAAAATGAAGAGACAAGAATGAACAATGAACGATTATCTGTCGCCAACGAGACGAAACGGTCATTTTTCGTTATTTCATCTTTCTCTCTTAACCGTTTCTTCTCTCCTCGTTTTTTTATCCGTTCGTCATTATTTCATATACATTCTATTACATAAAGCACGAACGGGTAGTCGTTCCGTCACAACTGCCTTTTATGTAACTTCAACTCCTTTCTTCATCATTCTTCATACTTAATCCAACTAATATCAAATTTATAGTCCATTTTTCATCATGCTATCTTTATCATAATCTATACTTGCCTACGTGAATTCTGATACTAATAATTATATTTGATATTTACAAACTAGAATGAGTCAAAGTAAATACTTGGGACGAACGTTCCTGAAGGAGAAGGTATAAGTTTAGAAGAAGTTTACATTCATATTTTTAAGATAAGAATTTCTTGGTTAGTTTCAAATAAAAAAGTGATAGACTATTTAGAATTCATTTGCATAATGAATAAATGAGAAGTTTCGACAAAATTGATAAAATGTGCTCTTTTTCAATGTCAAAAAATTAGTATTTTTAGTTTTTGATTTAAGAAAAAATGTCATAAATTCTAATATATTAAGTACTTTGATTAATATTGAGAATGTGGATGGGCGTAGTTCAGAGAGGAACAAAAGACTCACACTTCTATTCTCTTTTATCAACTGATTGAAAATGATCGATTATGATCGTTTGGCTTCAATGCATGGCTAGTGTTGTAATTAACATATGGTTTATTATTTGTCAATGAGTTGAATATGGTCAAAGTTAAAATATAAATAATGACCGCTATCATCAGTTTGAACATTTCCTTTAACTTGTATGCGCTTATTAAAACGAGATGAATCTCTCCAGCCCAATCAATACCATTTATTTCTTTGATCTTTTCATAGCCATGAAAATAAGATTGTCCAACTGAATCAATTGCTACTGTTTGATCTATTTTGTCAATATTAACACAGAATACAACTATATCAAATCCTTCATTAGCTAATTCAACTCCAGACTCTTCAGTAGCATGAACCATGAAATTATTACAAATGTCAGGAATATCACCTATATTTTAAATTATAGAAAATTTATAATAAAAATATGTTTACCTGTAAAAAGTAATTCGATTTTATATACATCCCACAATTCTTTAATTCTTTGCTGATAAATATTTAGAAAAGGTGCTTCAACAAGAGTGACTTTATTTAGAATTCCTAATGCTTCACATTGAGCTTCAGTTATATGCATTGAATGAGCTAAGACTTACATCGTTTGGAATTGAGGGGTGCAGAAGTCACTAACATTACTTACATCTCTGTTATATTTCATTCTACCTTTCGGATTTTTATGCTGGAGCCATGAAAGAGAATTTTAAAAGAATATGAATCGTAAAGAGCAACCGTTAACAAGAAACTCTTTTCTCCGATAAAAAGATAAACTACTACTAATATTATCAAAGTTATGTAGTAAATTTTTTTCTAAAAAAGTTCAGTTTTCATCAAAAAAGTCGAAAGTCAATAGATTAGCACATTTGTATGAAAATTTCAATATGATCTGTATCATAACATGGTACAGCAATATCTACCCAATTATCTTGATCTAGAATGTCGGTGAAGATCTGAATACTAGTTATTCATTCTAACTATTACCCATGTCGTCAACGACGGCAGTGTTGATGCCTGAGCTTCGATTTTTTATTTTACTGCATCAAAGGTAACGCGTTTTAGCCGTTAATTCATCTTCTTAAAAGTAAAAAAGAAACGCAAAATATTTATTTTTCATTCTTTATGTATTTGCATATGATGGCGTCACAATATGAGAAAGGGTTAAACAAAAAATAAATCGAACAATAAAACATTACATATAATAGAGAGAAAGATTTGTCCATAAAAGAAATTTGCTGAACTGGATGACTCTTTTAAAGTTGTAATGACTCCTGAACTTTCATCTGATACAGTCCAAATATCATTTGAAAGGTATCTTCGTGTAAATTTTGTAACTAGACGATAGTTTGTATCTGGTGATAAATTTTCAAAACGATATTTACTTATAAAATAAGTTTCATTTGATACACTTTCTATTGGTAATGTTGTATTTTCACCATTCAGTTTTGCATTCATTTCAAGTGTAAAATAAGGAATTTCTCTTGGCCACATCATTGAAATAATAGCTGAATTTGATTTAATATCAACAAATCTTCTTTCACTAGGTATCGGTGTTGTTGCCATTTTGATCAATTCAAAAAAACTACGTCCCCATAGTTTCTGTGATTGATTCACTCCATAATTATAAGTTGTATTGTATTCAAGAATAATAGCATAATATGCATTAGCTTTTAAAAAATTGTTGTTGACTATCATAAGTGATGTGAAATTGAAACGATCTTTACCATCCATAGCAAAATTATTGCGAAATATGTCAGTTGTGTTCAGTTTATATAGGATAACAGATAATTGTACAAAAGATGGTTCCGTTTCGGACCTACTATATTGCCAACTAATATTAAGACTTGATTCATTGTATATATCGACAGTCTGTATCAAAGGTGCTGACCAAGTCCACGATTGGCCTGTAACTAAATTTATTGATGTTGTCGTCAATATTAGAATGAAAATCCATATAAATTGCATTTTGTCGTCTAGTTGAAATGGATGTTATAGGAGAATAATTATTGCTTTACGTTTTTTTTTGTTCTATAGTTTAAAA